CTCCTACTACTACTCCTACTCCTACCCCTGCTGCTACTGCTACTACTACTGCTGCTGCTGCTAGTACTGCTAGTGCTGTGCTGCTAGTGCTGCTAGTACTGCTAGTGCTGTTCGTACTGCTAGTGCTGCTAGTTGCTGCTAGGATTAGTAATGGTACTAGTACGATGAGGAGGACAAGGACGACTACTACCATAACGACCGACTATTACAACTAGTATTATTCCCTTATCATGAATAGCTTCTACTTCTTCTTCTGCTACTTACACTGCCAGTACCACCTGCCACTACCAAGAGAACTGCCACAAACCACCACTTCTACTTCTACTACGACCAGCCGTTTGGGCAGGATGTGAAAAGGAATTCTTCCTGCAGGGGGCTCCGGCTCTCCGGTTTCTTTCTGGCAGGGCAAACCACCTCAGCCCTAAGGACCCATGCCACACACAGGCTGCATGGGGGGTCCTAGCTGATACCGGTACCCATCCTCACGAGCCGGAGGACATCAAGTGAAACTGCGAAACTGGATAGCACTTCCACCCACCTGACTTGTCCATGCAGACACGATAGAGTCCAAGAGAGTTCAGCTGCTGCTATCGCATGCCAGAATGATTGGGCTGCTGCCGTGCGCAAAAACCAGCATCTTTATAGGAAGTTTTGTTCACCGCTCTCCAGTCTTCTTTTTTCCCTCGATGCTACCACGAGGGTGTGAGAGTGAGAGAGGCCAGTGTTTTGCTGGCTGTTCTTTTCATGTTTGTTCCTTGGCGCCTCAGCGAAATAAACACGAACACTGTCTACAGAGCATGCTGTGGATCGTGCAAAACCGGCCTGATGTACGTTCTGCCATGGCCGAGGAGGAGACCGAGCTGAACATACTCAACGGCCGGTTCAAATACGATGCCAGAAAATGGAAGGGTGTTTCCAAGTCATCGTTCGACTTTGTCTCCAAATTGCTGCTCGGTGATCAAATCTTGGTTTGCAAGTTGGGGTCCCTGAGTTCGAGTCGCACGAAATGCGGCACACCAGCCCCAGGTTGCAACGAGATCCAGACCAACGCATGACCGCGGAGCAGGCCCCTACTCCTCGCCTTTCGCCCGATGTGTGAAGGTCAGGTCTACTTAAGCTTCGAGGCTTGCATGAACTGAGAGTCCGTTTCCTTCTCGAAAGCAACAATCCAAAAAGGCGTACCGGCAGCACAGTTGCACAAGTCGGGGCATGAAATACAACCTATGCCGTCCTTTTTTTGCAGACCTCGATCGCATCCTATATCACTTTTGACCCAGTTCCTGATCCCACGACGAATTAGAGCATATTGAAGCCATGGGTCCCAAGTTCCGGAGCAAAAACCGTTCGAAGGGCAGAAGGCCGCCGTCTGCGAGGATTGCTGCAAGGCAATTTCCTCAGCACGACGGATCGTCAAGGAGCGCTGCCAATGAATTAGCCGTCGTTGGCCTTGCAGCGGATTCGTGTATCTAAGTGCCCAAGATCGAGTCCTTTCCCGCCGCATCGCGGGAAGGTCTGGCAAAAAGAAGCTGAAGAAAGAAGACGGGAGCCAAAGCCTCATCGGTAGTATTGGCGGCGATGGACATATCGACCGAAGCAAGCCTCGGGTGGGGACACGCCAAAACGCACGTTGTACAATACCGAGCTACTAATAGTTGCTACAGGCGGTCAGTTTCATCGAAAGTATCATCACTGCTCAAAGAGGAGCAACAGGACCAAATTCGAGTGTCTGATAGTATCTGTTTTCAGTTGTTGGAAAGCTCTTGACAAATGGTGTTTGGAGAGCTTTCTTCTGCAGGCGCTAGCCCACCCGTGGATCGCGGAGCGGGAGCAATTCCCTTCCGGCACGGAATCGGCTGCAGCCTGCTAGAAATTACTCCGAGTATAACGAGTCATTCATGCAGCCATCAGGGGCCATGTTTGCAAGCTGAGGGACTGGATGCTTCCGTTGTTCACTCTCTCGCAGCTACTTGGAACGCAGATGTAATGTGAAGGGCGGAGCTATCCCTTGATGCATGTTGCAGTGATACCGAGGAGTATTCCAGAGCCTCGAAATTCCGACGAACGTGCATGCAGGCTTGTACTTGCCCATGCTCGTGAGAACCTGCCAGCTGGATGCTGCTGAGTATGAATTCTGGTGCACCATACCTGATCGGTTGCGCTCCGGCGGCGGCCACTCAGATCCAAAGCCATGTTTCTTGTCATAAAACTTGTCGTCAATGCGGCCGTGCAGGTGATGGCTTGGTCCCTGAACAATGCAGAAATGGCAGAAGTCCGTGAGGCAAGCGCTTTCTGCGTGCTGTACTGGCGCCAGACATGCCCAACAGAGCAATCGTCGCAAGTTCGACAGAAGCCTTTTGCGACAAAACGCATGCGGCCGAAATAGGTCGTGAAGACATCTGACAGCTTTACAGCCGTGTGGGGGCATCGGCACATGGTCACCTCAGCGGTTTGAGGCTAGTTAAAGTTTGTTATATGAGACTCTTATCAGGGAGTCTCCATTCCGCAGGCCTTTATGGAGTTGGACGTGCAGAAAACTGGCGCCATCCAACTTCATCAGCTGAAGTCAGTGTGCTCCCAAGCGCTGGAAAATGAGCGGGAGCAGAAGAGGGAGGTCCTTTGCACTCGGGCAGTCGTTTGAAAATGGCCAGGTCTTGGAGGAGAGGTTCAACATCTGTGACGAGGAGACCAGGAAAATCTTCGAGGCTCTGGACTCTTCCAACAACGAGGACCCATTGTCACAGCGACGGCTTTTCTGTCAACCCCTCAACCTTAGGGCCTTGGGGTTGTTCCTACGGGCGAGATAGGGACGAGAAATGAATCTGGAAGCGCCTTCCTCCTGCGACCGAAGCAGGAAGCAGGCGGCGTTTTCAATCACGCGCGCGTGTTTGTATTTTTGCAGCGCTTGTCTGTAGAGACATTAGAGCAAGTTTTGCTAGTGATGTCGTGTGAGAGGAAGTTGGTTACTCCGAGTTCCTCGCTGCCATGATGTCGTCGCGCATTCAAGTTCATGAAGACTTGGTTCGCGCCGCATTCCAGCGTTACGATGAAGATGATACGGGCTACATCAGCGCCGCCCGGCTGCATCTTCAGGACTCCGAGCGAGGAATTTGAGGCTTCATTTAGGTCTTTTTTGTCCTGAGGTGGAGAACCTGCGGCAGGTCTTGACGGAGAGTCTCGACAGCCCGGACCTACTTCGGCTTGGGGAGGGCCAAGTCCTGAATGGGTACTGCACAAGTACACATAAGCTGTCATACCTATTAATGCCCAATTAAGACGGCACCTGCCGCAAGTTTTCTGGGAGGGATTGAAGCGGTGCATCGAAACTTCTACGCCCAAGTGCTCGTCAGATTGGGCAGGAAACGGCGGAAGAAATGTTGAGTGGAGTGTCAGTCTTTGCTGGGGCGGAGCAGCGCGTTTCGCGACTGGGACGCACACTAGACGATCGCTTTCGGCCGCAGCATGTGTAAATAACAAGAGCAGACCAGATTTAATTCGGGATTGTAGACAGAAGCAGGAAAGGCACATCTGACACCGGACACCGGATCGATGACCGAGCTGTGCGAAGCGAGATCTGGCCTAAACGGCACGGGTGTCGTTGGGTTTCGTTGACATGCAGCTGCCAGAACCAAAGATGCTACAGCTGAGGTTTGATGCGTTCATTGAATATTTGACAGGTGGCGAGGCCCTGTCGGCGCAAGACGAGCAGAGTAAGACTGCAGTAAGTAATTAGCTAAGTTGTCCAGTGTTTCTCAGAATTCAAGCTCGTCACAAGACTCCATTTCCCGACTTTCTGGCTTTGTGAGACGGGTCTTAGCACCCACACGAACGACGAGTCTGAGAGCCCATGAGGTTTCCAGAGTTGCATAACACCCATAATCTTTCAGAAGATATCTTTTGGGTGGCTTCTCATACTGCCTGCTCTGCTCTGACGCTCGGCATGGACATATCAACACCCGAACACGACATGTTTGCCACTGTGCTCGTTGATGAACAGTCCTGGTCGAGCTTGAGTTCATGTCGCACCTGAGAAGCATAGAACCAGCTTCTCTCCTTGCGCCCCCCGACAGGCCGATGAGTCCCACAAGCGGGCAGTAGGTGGGCATTGCTGAGAGAGCTAGGAGCGCTGTTGAATTGTGTACAATGTGCAGCAGTGTAGCAGTGCAGCTGTTGTTCCGCAGCAGTAGGTCTTGTCGGCCGTCATTTTTTTTGGTGTCTGTGTGCGTGAAGTCCTGATGTGGGGGGGGGGTGGCAAACCCGGAGATCTCAGTGTCAAGCTTGCCAGCCAGTAAGTTGGGAATGTGGTTTTAGGATTCCCTCCAGTCCCTGCCATGTGGGCCAGGCTTTGTCATAGACAAACAAATGTCCAGAATGAGTTCATCGGAACTAATGCGGATGTCGCTTGGAAGCAGCCTTTGCAGTGAAGACCTGAGGCAGCTTCGGGTCAATGTTATAACGTAACATGCACACTTCTGAGCCATCCCAGGGCTCCAACGCTGCGCCATTGCCCGCTCACTCCGAAGGGCCTCAACAGGGCGAAGAGCACGCCCTTCATGATGGTCGAGGCTGCTGCTGCTGGTTCCATGTTTTGGCATGAAACTTTTGTTCCGCAGGACTCCTCAGACGATGAGGCAAAGAAGGAGATCCCCATGTCCCCGTTCTTGACCACACCAAATCCGGTCAAGCAGACCAAGGCCGCTCAAGACTCAAGTCGACAGTTCCGATGCCCACTCTCTCATGCCAGCTCCGCGCTTGCAGGTTCCATCCCTGGTGGACACGACAGAGGCCGGTTCAATCCAGACATCCAATAAAAACCTGGAGCCTAGAGCCTTGTGCTAGGACCTGCTAGGATATAGTCGTCGGTTTCCTGTGTGCCTGAAACAGAAACGACTAGCTGAAAGCCTCTCAATTGCCTCTCGAAAGGTATAGGTGAAATTGGCATGCACTTTTCGGATTGAGTTTAATGCCGCAAAGGGTGCCCTTGAAACTTTTCATGCCGACGAACATCGAACCAAGAACCTGTCTGAATGAACTTGGCATCTCAGTGAAGACGTCTATGCTCGTCATCGTCAATGGACTGACAACTCACGAAAAACATGTGATTTTCCAGTTGCAGAACGGGAGACATCAGCGGGAAGGCTAGCTCCGCGTGTGCTCGCGCGTAATCACTCAGCCGGTGGGATGTGGCACTTAGGCAGTTTGGTATCATTGCAGTGTTACGACTGTTTCGTGTTCGTACCTTTCAGATGACACCGTTGACTCGTTCCATGAGCCGAGGCAGCCGCCAATGCAAAGCAGTTGGAGGAGGCCCAAGTTTTGCAACGAACGGGACCTGCCGTTTGTCGCCTTGCCCCTGCGGATTCTCTGGTGCATCGATTGCTGTTGCGTTTCGGATGTCCCATCTTTGCTACAGATCGCACCCTCCTGCCCGCCTGTCGCAGGTGCCGGAAAGCCCCCCGCCCACGGTCCCGACACCTGCAGTGAAGCCGGAAGCACTTGGCTCGCAAGCACATGCATAGGCTCGAGGTTGCGGTTTGAGTATTTTGTACCACGAATCATGGCCAGGACAATGCGCCTGTCATACTGTCTGTCCCATGGTTCTTCTTCAGGGCGTGAAAATTTGGACGACAAACATGAAGGTTTCCAGCTTTTTGAACGTTCACTAGAGAGTGACTCTCGATTTTGTCTGGCCTGTCAACGCTAACTTCGGCAGCTTCAGCCATCAGTTGTCAACACCGTGGCTTTGTCATTCACCGATATTGATGACTCGACGCACGCTTCTTGAACAGGACCTGGTTCTGGTTTTCAAAACAGGGCCGAGATACCGGATAGACGTAACCAGGGCAATTGGCATCACTTACCGACCAGTTCGCTGGCAGCCCAAGGTGAAGAGCAGTGTCTGTGCAATCCTCTGATGAGGGCTGGCTGCAGAGATGTGACTGGCATACTAGCCGTAGATGCTTATGTAAGTTTTCGTATGTATTATGTGCGTTTACTCTAGTGTGTTTTAGTAGGTGCTCTGCCGGTTGCCTATGCAGATAGAGGATTTGGCCGATGCGGGAGCCAAAGTACAGGTTGCAGTAGTGACATGGTGCGTGGGCTCTCGAGAATCCATGTGTGCCCCAACCCAGGGCCATTGTACATTAATTTCGATGAGAGCTCGATTATGTCAGACCTCGAGTGCTGATAAGCCTCAAGGCGCGGTGTGCGCGCGCGCGTGCGCCCAGAAATCGGGTTCATAGCTAAGCCAGCTAAGCAGTCTTGAGCTCTCTGATTGCGGGAGCCTCGGGGAGAGAATATCTCCAACGAGATCGTTTCGTAGCACTTTCACGATATCCCCTCGTAGGTCAAAGACGCTTGCATGCCTGTCTCGGATGCGGAAGCATGCCGCCGACATGCAGGGTGCCGATGCTGGATTTGGCATCTTCAACCCGTGTCATGTTCAGGGTTTTCGGGCCACAAATTGCTGCACGGACGGGGCGTCCACCACCAAGTGGTGTGCCTTCTTCGCATGTCGCGACATGACTGGTGCCGCGGAGACAACCGATTCCTCTCCCTGCCTGCTAATTACTTGACAGCAGCTCGAAGCAACATCTTTCAGCCCTGGTCCTTGCCAAGCCTCAGTGACCTTACACAGCTGGGCCTAGGCAGTTCTCGACTGCAAGCCAGCGGGCGAGAGCCTGTGCCCAAGAATTAAGCAATTGCACGTTGGTCTTCGCTTTATGAAAAGGTCGGCGTAAAACTGTGACAACGAAGAAACCAAACATGGCTTCCGTGAAGAGAGCACTCGATCACGACTTCCCGTATGAGCAACTAACTCGTCGGTGAAACTGCACTGCAACGATGCACGCACACAAGATCCCCCATGACAAAGACGAAGCTGGGAAGTGAAAGAGAAGTGATACGCCATCAGACATAAGGGGGCGGGGTTGGGGACTGAAATTATAGGAGAACCAAACACATCGCCCAGAACGAAAACACAGCACAACAGCAACGAAGACATGGGGAGCAATGCCCCTATCTTCTCTTGACTAGCAACTTGGCTTGAAACAAAGCCAATATGTCTTCCACAGAAACGTCCAAGGCACGCCGCACTGTTCTGGCATTTGGAGCCAGGGAAGCGCCGGAAATGCGTAATTCTACAAAAGAGTGGGAGCCGGAGAGCAACTAGAAATGTTGCAAATGACAAACAATTGGAGGCAGGAAAGGGGTGTCGTCAACGCTACCAAGGAAAACGAAACCGTAGAGTCTTTTTTTGTCTTTTTGTTTGTGTGGATCTTTGCTTTTCCGCTTCGGCTGTCGGAGAGAGGGCGTGATAGGATCGAAATATTGGCCCAGGCTACTTCAGCATCGTCGAATCCAACCATTTCCGTGAGCTGACTCACATTGCCGCTTGCGCAGCAGAGCGTCAGCAGAGCGTGCATGTGCCAGCACCATTACAATCCACGGTAACGACCAAAGCCTCGCGAGCCGTTGTACTTGTAGGCTCTTCGAGTTCGACAAGGTTCAGACGAGGCAAGCTTTTTTAGGCTTTGTTCTGCGGTCACGTTGATGCCGGCTGCTGCTGGGGCTTTCGATTTTTGTGTCTTGCAGTGGATTGCAATCTGCTTGTACGGCGGTATATGCTTGTTAGTTTGTCTTGTGAATTGCGAGGTTGTGAAGAAGCACCTCGCTCACAAGCCAATGACTGAGCCCGGAGAGTGGAAGCCCAGCCTTGCCCCACATGACTCCTACTGAGTACCGGGTCGCAAAAGACTGTGCCGCTACACGCTGTGACAGCATGTGGACAGTTTTCGGGCCTCGGTCTCCGTGCAATCCAGGCTACGTGCTGCTCGAGCGGAGGCTGCGAGCCTCAGCCAGCGCCTTGCCGCCAGCAGCGAGGCCCTCGCTTTGGCCTGCCGGATGCCCATCGGCATTGCAAGACTGTGTGGCGTTGTCAGGCATTGATACAGAGCCAGAAGCAGGTGAACGAGCTGACGGCCCGTAGAAGCCACAGAGGAAGATCTCTGCCGATCCTTCCATTGCAGATTCACAGATACATGGTGTCTTCATGTGTCTTTCAAGATGATCTGGCGGCTTGGACCCTTCTGCCCGTAGTGAGCGATGCATAGGTGCGGGGGTCGTCGCCGACGAGCGAGCGCACCTGGAAGAGTCCTTGCAGGCGAGGGCTAGCTTTGCAAACAACTTCTGATCATAGGCAGCAATGCTGGACTATGGCATTCGAACCCCCGTCTAGGCAGCCCTTTTGGGGTAATCTTCGCTTGATTAACTGTTGTGGCCTGGATCGGTTTTGCATTTTGGCTAGTCTCAAGCTGGGCTCGGTTTGGCATCGTGGAGGCCGCAGGGTTCCGCCTTCTTAGGAAGAGTTCGGGTCAACAAGTAGCCTTTTGAATGATGGCATCGATTCATAGATGAATTCCTTCAAGGCAACTCATCAGCGGGAGCTGGGTGACCTCAAGGATGAGCCCTGCGCCCAGGGAATTGTTGGAGAGCTCTTTTCGGGCATTCTTTGGCCTGGAACTGCCAGGCACGCCCGGGCTCTGACTGAGCTGCAGCCTGGGCCTCGGCTCCGGCCACTGGTCGCTGTAGCAGAAGGTACCAGACCTCTTGAGGCGTTCTACCAGGGAGGAGCGGACTCGCATGGAATCCGAGCATAAGCAGGCCTGGAGCATTGGAGCAAAAGCCCAAGTGCCAGTCGCAATCTGCGTGACGCCAGTTTTCTTTGCAGAGGCCTTACGAGCTGCCTTAGACCGTGCACAGAGTGCCGAGGGCACCGTGGAGGCTTCACTTCGACGCAGGGCCTTCGTAAAAGTACAGTTTCGCCTCCTGCATTGTGCTTGCAGTCGTTGTCCGAAAGGAACGTCCAAGTCCAGGAAGAGAAACCTTCTCGGCATTGATGCATGCCTGAAAGAGATCTGTGAAAAGCTCGCTGCAGGAACTCCAGCGAACGCGACAGTCGCTGACAGTGACGGGGGAAAGTTGTGCAAGCCTCAGACAATGCACGACCTGTTTGCATCAAGCATTGCTTGTCACAGCTTGTTTTCTAGCTTTGGGCCCAAGGCAGCTTGTTAGACCTGCACCCTGTCAGATGTTCATTCGCATGTGACACATGTGTCTGCATCGTAGCAAGATCCGTCTGCCGATGCGGGCGAGCTCATGCCATTTCCTTGACGACCTTTGCGCTAGCCACAGCCCGAAAATGAGACAGGTCGAGAACGTCTGGAGCTGGCTGAGCGTCAGCTGAAGGAGGCCAAGCCGAAACCTCCAGTTTACAACAAGGATGCTACAACCCACTGTCAATCACGACATGTCTGCGGTCGATGTCGGGAACTGCGCACCGACATGCACAGCAGCACCAGCTGCTACTGCACCAGACATGCTGCGGACAGTTTACCTGACAGGCCTCACAAGAGACTAGCGAGCTTCGAAAGCAGCTAAAGCAGTCGGGTGCCTGGTGGTCAAACATGTATAAGCCTTTACATCCATGATGTGTTTTGGACCTATCTTCGTCCGCCTTCACCACAGAGCACTGATCTACTTCACACCATACCGTATTGTTGAGCAAATCCAGACCTTTCTGCATGCTTCCGCCACTGAGGCTGGAAGAGCTGAAGCCTCACCCTTACCGGGTAGGTAGGACCTGGCCAGGCGAGCTCCAATCAGGCCTGTGTAAAAAAGGACCCAGGTTGGATTGCGAGAACGTCGAACAGGATTGGTGTGCCCTCGAGCAGTCGCCCGATGCTCTTGAAAATCTCATGTCTCCCATCTTCTCAGGAGACCGGGAACTGTGCGCGCACACTTATGGCGCTTCGTGCACTCTTCATCCAAGCTTTCGGGCATTGTGCTTCTTGCACTTCAGGTTTCGACACGAGCGGGACCTGAACGGCCTCCAGGTGTCGGTAGTTGATTGTCGGAAGTTTGCTCACCATACTCAGTCTCTCGTGCCGGCAGCCTGAAGCTGATGATCCATCAGGGCTCGTGGCACCGCGGTAAAGCTTGCCACCGTTCTCAGGTGCAGCTGGCCTCTGTCAAAGAACAACTGGCCGTGCGCGAGCAGTCCCTCGGCTACAAGCCTAAGCAGCCTAAGCGGCGTAGATCCCAACAGCCACCAGAATTGCAACTCCGACTTCGCTGACCTGCCAGGCACACGGCAAGCCAGGCGGCTCAGATCGAAGAGGCTGTCAGGGAGCGCCGGACGCTCAGAGTCTCAGACTTCTTCGAGGCGTGTAGGCAGTGTAGGCGAAGCCTTGCAGAGCTGCACGTCAAGCAAGGCAGGACGCTCGAGGAAGGTCTGGCCACCGTCAAGAAGCAGGCAGTTCTTGTGCGCAGACTTTGGCACTGCCAGCTCGGACGAGGAGTTTTCGAGTTTATAGTCTGCAGCATTGCATTGATAGGTCATCAGCAACCCTACCAGTTGCACCTAGCACACCATGCACATGACTCTGCGGTGCGTCGGCGCTACTCTTAGAAAGCCATGGCCACTTATGCTTGCATCCAGACATAATGCTTGATTCCGCGAGCCATTGAATCTCTTAGCTGGACATCTGCTGCTGCTCCGCAGTCCTAGCTGTGCAGAAGCTGCGAGGCAGGGAATTGTTTGTGCCTGAAAATGGGGACGACATGATGACCTGCTGGTTGCGAGTTGTTCGGTTGTTCGTTACATGGCAAGAACTTCCATGAGTTGAGCTCAGGCCCTGCGGCCCTACCCTGTAGATGAAGCTTTCCACAGGCTGCAATGGCGCATTCTATGCAGCTGCAGGCGATCGAGGGCCGTTTGCAGAAGGCTCTTGAGCATCCTGGCAGATGGGGCTTGTAGACATTTCTGAGGGCGTTCCTTCGGTCGCAATGATCATGAATGGAATCGGTGCTACTAAAGTCTTGCTCGTGTCTATGGCCTGACATTGCCTGACAGACGAGACACCAGCAAGACCTCCGATTGTCAGCGTAGCCGAGGCGCGTTCGATTAGTCCTGAGCACCGAGAAAACGCCGCAACTGGCGGCGAATGTGTGAGGCCCTCAGTGAGTTTGCTTGCCCGTGCTGTATCTTCCGTATGGTTGACGTTGAATTTAGGAAACCTTCTTGTCCTCTGCACGTTTCGGTTGCAAGCTTGCGCGCAAAATGCCGTATGAGCTCGAAAGCCTTCTCAGCCGAGGCACCACCAGTACAATGACAAGTACTTTCTGGTGGAAAGGAGCACGTGCATAGCCGAATCTTGGATGCATCCTCAGACTCTTGACTCTTTGAACTCCGCCACCTTTCTGCCGACTGGCCTGTAAATGGGGCAACCGTACCAGGAAGCCGAGGGTCTAAACAAGCGATCTTAGATATACAGTGACACTGACATGAACTACAGCACATCGATGTAATCGGTTAACCGACTCGGGCACCAGCTGCCCGCACGACACAAGTTATTTTACCAAACGAGAGGTTTAGCTATACCCATAACAGAAGCTGTCTTCCAAACAGGCCGCGTCGCAGCTGAACTGCCTAGCAGCTCTTGGACTCACAGCAGACCAGCCGCTTGTGCTGGAACGGTCACTGCAAGTTGCGAAGCCAAGAAGCTTGTATCACTGTCCGCAGCGTTCCCCAGCAAGAACATCGACAAAGCAGTAGTGCAGGCACTTGCCACCGCAAGACTGGTAGAAGTTGTCGCGGCGCTTCATAGTGCAGTGGTGCTCTCGTTGTGCTTCCTCGTCGGTTGCTGTGGTTCTGGCAGGCTCCGCGGGCTTCGAGCTTGGCTGCCAGCACAGGTCTCGCTGCGTTTCAGGCGCCTCTCCGTTGAGCATCATTGTTTCGCTGCCCCTCTCAACCGAGAAAGGCTCGAGTCGAAGGTCGATTCGTGTTGCCCCTATTGCATTGGATCTTTCGATTGCTTGGTTGGTTCAGGTCTCAGGAGAAGTGTACCTTTCTTCGCGAAGAGAAGCGCGAGGAGGCGCAAAAGTGACTCGAGACAAGACGTCCTGATAGCGAGTGACCGCACAAGAACCTCGAGCCTAAAACTGAAGCCAGGAAGATCCGAGAAAGCACGTAGAGGAGGTCTCCGTGGGCGGCGTCGCACGGGCCAGCTGGTCCAGCAAGGTGCCCTGTGTGGGTTCAAGTCATGCTGTACTCAGCGTTCCACTTATTGCAATTCTCCCCTCTTACTACAAGACACGGTCATTATGATGCTTGTGGATTGTTGTCATCATCATGAGTAGGCCCAGGCTTCAGGAAGCCTTGCGGTGCGACTTTAGAAGACTAAGACGTTCCTGAGCCCGTTGGTACATGAAACTTAAGCGTTACGGCATGGCTGCTGCAGTGGAGGCTCTCAGGTCAGCAGCGCAGTTAGCCAAAGTTTTAGAGCATGATGTGGCCCAGCTGAGGTCGTGACGACCATCACGGAGTATTTCTGGAAGTTCGAGACCAGTTACACTCTGGAAGCTTTTCGCGGCGTTGGAGCAGAAGATGCCGACAGGCACTGCCTCTGCGGCCGTGCAAGTCCAAAGTTCTGTGCCCGAAGGTCGTAGCCACGCAGGGCAAACCTCGCAAACCTGGCTTAAACCAAGACTCCTGACAAATCCTGCAAACCCACCCATTGCTGAGTACTTGTCAGTTTCGGGCACCTACATGATCGGGTGTGGTAGGCTGGCTCATATCCCAAGCAAAGGTCTCCTGGCACGATTCGCAGCCTTGCCAGCCTGTGATCGTAAGAATGCAGCTGCAGGCTCCTGCTGCTGTCCAGGAACGGGCAGGTGGAGCTGAAGACCAGCGTTGCTGCGCTCAGTCATGCCATTGTCAAAAAGACGGAAGCAACAGATCCATTAGAGGAGGTCTGTGTCCGCGGGTTGTAGCAGCGTAGCAGCCGGCAGGAGTGTCATCTCTGCAGCTCTTCGAGAATTTGGGTCCATGTTTGCCGTTTGCGGCAAATGAATGTGATTGCCGCCTGCGCCACCTGCTTAACAAGGCCAAATCGCCCCCGCCGCATCCAGAAGCACGGGTGCCTGCCGTCAATCAGGAGGCCGAGCTTGACTTGTATCGTAGGATCAGGCGGCCATCGGGCAAGGAGCGGGGCGATCTGCAGAACATGCTCATGAGCACTTGAGAAGAATGCAAGTTGTTGAGTTCCCGACTCGAGGTGAACATCACCTGGCTTCTGCAGCTGTTATCGCAGGAAGGCACGTCCCCGCTCTTCAAGACGCTCAGCAGTGAGGATGTTTGGACGAAGCCATGCATGCCGGTTTGCACGCCTGATTTAAACACCGGAGCATTGGGGGACATGTGCGAGGGCCCAAGGCAAGAAGTGAGTCAGCTCAGGATCGACCGGGCTGCTACGGGATGCAGTACGCCGCGGCGGAACCAAGATGTGGACAAAGCCTTCGCGCACTTCACAATGTTCACTCAGTGGGCTTCAGAGCTGCACTGGATGTCAGGGCTGGGAAGCCTTTCGCGCACGTCACCGTTATTGGTCTGAAACTGTGGCCTGTTCACCGCATACTGACATGGCAGGCTAACGGCGTTTCAGACTACCTGCAACTTGGCTACTCTTAGCCCAGTCTGGCTCTTGACTGACCCTTTTGCTTTCGGCTTTTGAGCGATTCTTCCGGATCTCGCGATTGACAGATGCTCTCAGGCAACACCTCAGTGCCGTCGATCCCAGGTGCGCTTTCGACCCTCCGTGCTTGGACTTCATGGCCTTCTAACTTCCAGCTTTCAACCAAGAGCCGAGCCTAAGAGAAACAGCAAGAAGAGTGATAGGCAGAAAAGTAGTGACTTCAGAAGTAACAGCCGTTGCAACTATGACACTGATGGTCATCATGAACCAACCGGCGACACGATGCCCGGCTGCAAAAGCAAAGGGACCACCGCAGCAAGAGCAGTAATGACAAGTGCAATAAGTATGTTTTTGGAGGACCGCCCCGCAGCTGCCCTTGGACGGCGTTTTCGCACCCGTCCTTCCCTTGATGGCATCTTGTCTTCAGGCACTACAAGTACCAGTAGTAGTTCTTGCACCCAAGTACGTTACAGGAGATATCAGCGGTTTAGAGCATGGTGTTGGGCTTTGCGCTGCATCGTCGAGATGCAGCGGCAAAGCGAGAGAGTCGACTTCATGCCAACACAGGAAGAAGGAGTTCGCTTTGGTTTTGGGGGATCTTTCTGCCGGGGATGAGAGATCGCTGCGCAGTTTTTGGTTGCTCGTTGGAAGGCATGCACGGGGGACGGACCATTGTCACTTGGACCAACCATGCCCTTACACGGACATTCTCGCGAGCCAAATGCTAGAATCCATGCTATGCCGTGATACCCCTCGCAAGCAAGCTACTCATCAAAGATCATAAAAGTGCACTACCAGGGACGCAAATATGTTTTGGTACGATCTGGCGTTGAATTTTGGAGGTGGCTTAAAGAGCGCTGAGCTCGTAGTCGCAAGCTCCTGTCTGACGTGGTCACGCAGCTTGGTGATGTGCCCAGGTGAGCGGTCAGACCTCCAGTCCAAGACCCGCAGAGCCAGCCGGCACGTTGCTTGCTAGCCTCATGGCATGTCTTCCGAAAACGCCAGAATTGCGTAAATCAACGCAGAGCATTGGTGTAGCCCTTGTGCGCCAACCCTGCTTAGACACTTTCCAGGTTAGCCTCACTGAATCTGGCCAGTGATGTTCAAGACAGTGCTGTCCTGAGCATGCAGCTTGCGGGCCTGCGGACCTGGCGGAGATTGATTCCGTTTCAAGATGATGTACTCGTAGTAGTTTCATGGCTGAGAAGCTGCGTGTGGTGACCAGATGTCTGAACTTAAGAACTTGCGTGCTGAGGCCTAGTCCTGTCGGTGTCAGACGGAAATCGCCTCCTCAACGAGGAAGGGCTTTGGGGTTGCTACGGGCAGTTCTTGCTTGACTGGGGTCTGGGTGGACACCCTTCCGGCATTTTGATGGCAACAGCCTGATGCATTTGCCGCGCCAGCAGATGAAATGCGCCCAGTGTTTGCCAGCACACAGAGGCGTTAGCCGGATTCTTGAATGTCGGCATGCTCGCTCACATTCATGCAAAGGAAGCACGTCGGCACGCACGCACACCCGAGGAGATGCGAACCATGAAAGAGCAGCAGCAGAACATCTGCGCACCCTGGATTAGACTCGTCAAGCCGTCTATTGACAAGATGCATAGGAGAGAGTTCCACCCCGCATGCCCATCTCTTCAGCAGTTCGATGATTTTTCATTTTGTTCAGCCAGATCGACGGAAATAGTTTGAAGAAGTTTGAGGAAGACCGACCGGTTTGAAGAACCTGAAGGAGCCGTCTGCGCAAAGACAACCTTCTGTGATCGTAGAGATTTGGCTGCTACTCAAAGACCCGTCTGAACAGGTCCCGTGTCTTGACCGGGGGGGGGGCGGACTTTGTGTGCTGGGAGAGGATTTGGCTCAGGCCAGGCAGGCCAGAGCGCAGGTCGGGCTGTGATAAACCCCGCAAGCCGAGTTATGCAAGTGCAGGTGAGAAGGGGAAGGGTGCGGGGGTTCTTTTTGAGTGTGTTTTGGCTTTGGGTTTTCCTGTCAGTCAGCCTAGTCTGTCCATACACCCATTGGTCAGCCCGTCGGTCAGTCAGTCAGTCGGTCCACGCGTCCATCCGGCAGACATCCTGCAGTGGTTAGCATCCAAAGCCCTTCGTTGAAGAAAATGCCTCCTGTTTCGTCAGCCGTGCCTTCCTGTCACTGGCAGGTGTGAGCACGGGGGAGAGGGCAAGCCCTCCCTCCCCCCAAACCCAAACTCAACCTGGGGTCTTGGGGTCTTGGGGTCCCTGTGTTTACCCTTCGTCGATAAGGTGCGCAGTGTTTAGGCAAATGCCTCGCCTGAACCGGCTACAGAGTTACAGTTTCTTTCCTTCGTCAACGAAATGTGCCACGGCTCAGGGAGTAGCCTTATCCCTGTGACATCCTCTGGCTGTGAGCCAATAAAGCACCGAACAAGCGCTTCGGAAACGGCTTCATGCCGGCGACTTTCGGACTTTCTGTGGGATCCATCATGATGCATGAGCTGAGGAAAGTCTTCCGGGCAATGATGGCATCTACACACATGTGGAGTGTGGGTTGCACTTGGTTCTGCGGCATTGCGGGAATGTCGCGAAGCGCTGGAGTCAATTGGTGGAGTATGTGCCGGACTCAGCGGGCTACGGCGGCACACGCTTCTCCTCTCTCTCACTGAAAGATGGAAGCTTCAAGCACTATTCTTGCTGTTGCATAGGGCCGCGTTGTGCTTGAGTCCTGAGGTGGAAGGCATGCTCCGGAAACAGCTGATAGACGCTATTGGCAAGGAGGCGACGTGACGGTTAGCGTAGCTATGGAGAATCTGCGACCCAGTGGCAAGCCGCAATAGAAGGTTAGCTCGGCTTCGAGCCGCAGGGGCACCAGAGGTTCTTCTTGGGCGGCTTTCGAAGTTGAGGAAACAAGGACCTACCACTAGATCACCTTTGAGCCTCTCGAGTCGTCGAGAACTCTTCCTAGATCAAGCTTCGGGGTATTTGACGGTTCTGCTGTGCACAAAAAAGTTGGGGAGATGATGCGACTGGATTTTCGGTGGCCTGCAGATAATGATCTGGCACAGGTTACGCCGGCCCTCTTTGCAGCGTACATGCAGTTCCACTACCGCAAGCTGTTCCGACAGGCAAGGTCCTCGTGGCCATCCGGTCCCAAAGTGCAGTTGACATGATATAAGTGGGGCAGCGCGACTTTACTACCAACTGCACAACACCTGATTTCATGTGCTCTAGGTGCAATAACCAGCATAACTCAGCATGCTTGAGCATTCGGCAGGAGTTTCAACCTCGCCAGTTCTGCTTCGCTGTGCGGCGGTCAGAGCGACACAGTCCAGAGGGAACTGTAAGCATCGAAGAGGATGCCGTGGGGCTGGATGAGTCCAGCATTCGGAGCCCGACATTTGGAATTGACAATTGATTCGTGGAAACCGTGAATTGAGGAGGTTCGGTCTCTGCTGCGTCTGCATGAGAAGTCGAGCTCTCAACCTCAGCACTTGCTTGCTGATGCCTGTTGCATGTTACTGTCGGGTGTGAGGCGGTAGTGTCGTCCCCTCCACATTTTGATAGGTAGTGCTCGAACTGCAAGCATTCATGCGAGGCTTTCTGCTTGACAAACCGTGCAGCCCAGGATCGTGACCATTGCCAACTGCGCAAGTACGCCGTGCACTATGAGCTTTCCGCTGAATGCATCGACGGAGGTGTCATGGTTTTCAAACGTTTTCAGTCTGCATATACCTCAGTTGTGCGATCTCGCAGAACACATCGTCACGGTCGTAGCAGGTCTCCTTCACTGGCGACGTCTATCTGCATGGATGGCTGTCTCACCGCTTCTCAGGAGCCACAAAAGCAGGGATACGTGTGAAGACCGCTGGCTTAGGTCCTGGCATTATTTTGTGCTTCACGCACGGTGGAATGTTGTGCGGCCAGGCGCCTCTGGCGCGGCACTGTACCTCACCTCCCGAGCTCGACAATTCAGCTCCATGCTGGTACTGGTTGGCCGGGTCGCATCGGCGACTTCCTTCGACCCCAAGTTTGCAGCAACTTCGGTGCATCTGCTGTCTCTGGTTGTGGGCCTTCCAAAACTGCGTACTACGGAGGTACTACGGTTCCAGAACTGCAGGAAGGCTAAAGTCGTGCTTTTGACAAGCCAGTCGGTGCTTCCTGTAGATGAAGTTCAATAGACCGGAGTCTGAAACGATGAGGACATAGAGCAGCAGTTAGACAGTTAGACAGGTTCGTTGGAGACAGCTTCCGAGGCCATCCTCCAGAACAAAGATGAGCTGACAATTCCGCTCGAGCTGTCAATGATACCTACACCAAAGGCCGCAGGGTCACGAACACGAGCTGCGTGGTGTTGAATGTGATTTATCTCGCAGCAGGTTCTGTCTTGTGCGGAATCACTTTGCTTTGCGTAAGCCTGCTTTGAGCAAGACTTCGACTATCTTCGACTGGCAGGAGTTCAAGGATGCCATTGCCTCCTTGTCCCCGCAGCAGCAGGCCTTCGCCAAGGCCTTCCGGTCGATGCAGCATCTGGGCTCATCCTTGTGTACCAGTCGTGGAAGGGCCCCCATGTCCTGCTGATGGGACACAAGAACGCATGCGCGGCAAGGGTTTGGTGTTTTGCTTGCCAGAGTTGAAGATACAACAACAGTCAGCCTTGACCCCCCACAGACCGTTCACGAACTCTTCCTTCGTAAAGCGCACAGGTTTAAACAAAGCCTATCACAGTCAACTTCGAGCGGGAACAGGGCGGCGGCCGTGTTGACAGTGTTGACTCAGGTTGGAGAGCACGCTGTTCGGCGTACTGGTTGTCCAGATCAAGCCTCAGCTCGAGAAGCTCCTGAACTTGCCGGACGACAGCCTCACCAAGGTCGGGAGTAGTTGGAGTTGGTGGCTTCGCTTTTGTCCTGAGCGGGCGGTTTGCCCGTTCGTTGATTTCATGACAGGAGATCAAACTCACCCAAGATCTCATGGACCTGTTCATCAAGTACCAGCTGCCTGACAGTTTGTTTTTGTATCCGACTTTCACTGGAGTCTGCTGAGAAGGGATGTGAATTGACGCGCCGATGTCTCGACCAGTTGTGGCGTCTGATTTCTTGAGGATTCCCAGCGACCTGTTGTCCTTCAGCGACGATACAAGTGCGGGCCCTCGGGCCTTTCCATGATCGGGCTTGCATCGTAGAGCGCTGCAGCACTCTAGGTGATGCGGAGGTGGCACCAGCCCAGCGGTTGGAAATGGTCAAAGGCCACGTAAAGGTGCGCCTCTCGCAAGCACGGGTGACTCGGGAATTCGGTGCTGTTGTGATTCGCCGGCGCAGGCCATGCACGACATGATCCAGCAAGAGAAGGAAGCTGAGCTGTTGGCGGCACGCTTCCGGGACTGAATCTAGAATCTAGAGAGCCCATCGGCCCCATCATGTCCTGGTGTGCAGCAAACCTCGTCGTCGAAATCTTTCGAAGTTCTCTCATCTGCCTAGGCCAAGAAATGGAATGGGGTGCGCCACAACTGCGGAGCCAGATAACGGCTGACTCGGACAGCTGTTGCACATGGTCAAGTTGGGAAATCTTGCGAAGCGGTAGTTGGGATACTCCTCTCAAGGGCATTGCTACGACTCAGGACTACAGTGACGAAAGCATGGGGGGCATGTCCATGCCACGGTCCGAGTGCGAGGAGTGCGACGAGGAACTTGGCTCAATGGAGGGCGACTGCGCCGCTTTGCCTGCAAATTCTTCCCGTTGTACAGCTCTGACTCCCATCCGTCCTCTTTTCTTGACCTTCGCCTGCAGCTGCCCTGATCTGCCTCTCCATCTGCGAGGCAATGCCAATGCCTGAAGACTCTCGGCCAGCACAAAGACACCATGAGTGATGGCGCCCTCTTCCACCTTTTAACCTCTCCCTCTCCGGCCCTGGAAGGTAGGGAGGATGCCCCGAAACTTCTCTACTAGTTGTTTCATTATGTTTCATTAGGCACTTGTAAACCAGGAGTCCTTGCAGAAACGCCGGAGGCTCGGTCGGCGCCCGTCGTCCACAAGCGGATGAAGATGGAGAGGAAGATGGAGGAGTGTGAGAAGCGCAGCATGGACAAGCCCCTAGAGAAGAATAAGCGGGGAGCTCGAGAGTCCATCTGCATCCAAACGTAGGCATGCGCTTCTTTCGTTGACGGAAGTCGCATGAACTGGACGTGTTCCTGGTGGAACGCCTGCTTGCCAGCTCGAGGGAACGAGATCGAGACCGAGATGGTCGGGACGGCGCGTCAGCTGCAGCCTCCTCATCTGGCCGTTCGGGCCAACCCGCCCAGCAAGGGCAGTCGTCTCAGGCAAGCCTTCTTTCGCCTTCATTTGCCAACGCAATCACGAAAGAAGTTGTTCTATCGTCTACAGTTCACTGTCATGGCTGACCCTACATGTTCGAAGAGTTTCTTCAGAGCAGCTACAACCAACAACCGCTCTCCCAAACAGCAGCGGTGACGAACTCCCATGCTAAGAAGGCCTCTGGGCAGCCTGGCGGATCTGGAGGCGGCTTGCCGTACGTCCGGGCCTCGGGGAAAGATGCGAGACCAACTCCATCAATCTTCTCCTCTGGGTTTTCGCATATTTTCGTCTCAAGGTGCGGGATTACACGAAGGTGCCCAAGCAGATGGATGCCCAGTTCGAGACTTTGGCTCCGGACAGAATCTGGGTCCAACAAGTTCAGGCATGTGCGGATAGCTCCTGAAGTTAAAGAAAGAGAGGGAACAGTAGGGAGAGAACCTGGGTCTTGCCTCTGGTTGCACCTCGTCGGGTTATCTTTGGAAGAGTTCAGCTTGCATCTTCAGGGCCATGCCTTCTGGGACGATGCGCAGAGTGAAGCGAATTTTCAGGGACGTCGGAGCATGCCGAAGCCGGTTGTACCTCAGGTGCTCTGCGCCCGACTATCATAAACCCTGGAGTTTGCTGGACAAAGAGATCGCAGAAAGCCTTGCTGGCACAGCCGGTGACGTCAACTCTCTTTTTCGATGATCAGAAAGCAGAGAAGGCACGGCTGCAAGGGAGTTGAAGCTGTCTCACCATGTGTGCGTAGGCCGTGTCGAGAACTGTCCTTGAAATTCGCTGGGGAAGGATGCGGCCTTTGATCTGCTGGATGCCATCACGAAATCGGGTGCTTTGCCTCTCAGCCATGCAGCGCTCCACATTGTGATAGCCGCCCGGCATGGCATCGCAGAACAATCATAAGCTTACGCACGTACGTGCGTGCCGGTGTGTGTGCGTGTGTTTACTCTGTGTTTCGTGTCAGAACTTGAGCCAAATACTTCTATTCAGCCATCGCTTGCGATTTGATCCAGGAGAACTGCACCGGCGTAAGTTTCCTGTCCCACGACAGGACTTGAGTGACTTGAAACGAGCTGCAGGAGTTATCTGTTGAGTTGCGAGAATCGAAATCTTTTTGCGAGGCTGCGACGCACTGCTTCGACAAGACCGTCACGGAGACAGCAGCCGAGCTTTACTTGGCTCGTTGGTGTCAGCCGGTGTATCTTCTAGCTTCATCTGCCCTGTTCATTCAGAGATTCCAGATGCAAAGACGAATAGCATGGTTCCCGCGCTGCGATGACGCACACAATTCGAGAAGTGTACCAAGGGAGCAGACATAGCCAAGGAATCTAAGATACCCAAGCAGCTCTCCAAGTTTCGCAGAGCCGGTTCATTGAAGGTGGTGCAAGACAACGTGAACCCCATCGACAAGGTTGCCTTGAACATGTGGCAGCTGCGATTTCCGCACTTGCAGTTGTTTGCTCAAGTGCTAAGCACTGCTCGCCACGAGTGCAAGTAAATCCTCAGCTTTGCACCTCGAGAGGTCGAGCGCTCGACCTTGATAGTTGCATCAACCGTGCACCAGCAGCCTGTCGCAGCTCTCATCGATGAGGCCAGACGAGTCAACATGAAGCTTTCGAAACGGATATTTACTGTTGCCCTGTGGCACTGGGCCCTGCAGTTGAAGATGTCTTACGCATTCCGTCGACCGTCAGCCTATCAGCCCTGACACAGGCCTCTGTGGCCCGGGTGAGCACCTCGAGCCCACAGCTCTTCCTGGAAGATGCGTGAGGAGACGCCGAGCGCTGTCCTTCGCCAAGTTCTGCACTATTTTGGAGTCTGTACAGCTGCCGGTCCCTGGTGTTGGATGTTGAGTTCTACAGCAGGACTTCTGCGTGTAATGTCTCATGTGTTGTAACTTAGAGCGAGAGATAATCAGATTGGCAACGGCAGCAACGTAAATACCAAGTTGTAGCAGGGAATACCGACAAACAAAAGAAACGCACATGCATGTGCCTGCCTAAGCACCGACCTACCTACCGACCGACCGACCTGCCTACTTACGTAGCTACCCACCCGCCCACCCACCTACCGACCTACCTGCCTCCTCCTACCTACCTGCCTCCCTTACCTACCTACCTACTTACCTGCCTACCTGCCTGCCTACCTACCTACCTACCTACCTACCTACCTACCTACCTACCTACCTGCCTCCCTACCACCTACCTACCTATCTGCCTACCACCTACCTACCTACCTACCTACCTACC